ACTGGTGCCCCGCCAGTGTCTACCGTTAGCGCAGACGAGAGCACCAGTCCTTTCTCACCCCATAAAAAAATCTATACATATAAATAAATTGGAGTGTCTGTTTGTAATATTGAAATAACCGTTACTACATGCATATGAATGTAAATACGGACATACACTAAAATAACATTTTTTACAATTTTTGTCTGTCTGTCTGCTTGTTCCGGGTAATCTCTTATATGGCTCGACCAATTTTGATGGGACTTTTTGGTAGGTAGCTGATGTAATAAGAAGTAACTTAGGCTACTTTTATTTTAGAAAAATAAAGTTAAATTTCACGTGGACGAAATCGCGGGTACATTTAGTATAAAATATATTCAGTGCTTGGCTATATTTGTTTTTAGTCGCACGTTTGCAGATACCCTTATTCTCTCCACTGTACGCTATAATAGGAAGTTGTTACACTATTAGGTACCATTTATTACTAATTATACGATAAGAGGCATGAAATCTTACTCCTCTGGAATGACAAGGCTTGAGTGGTATCACGGACGTGATAATGTGATGTAGTTCATGTGTCAATCGCATCATTTTCGATTCAGTCTTTAGTAGTTACGATGCCACAGATATATAACCATGTCTAACTTATAACAACTCTATTTTTGCGTGGGGGATTATAAAACGAACTGTCCCGGATAAACCGAGATGTAGTTCATGTGTATAGGCGACGGCTACCACTTACCATCAGATACCATCAGCTTGTTTGCCGTTTCAATAACATAAAAAAATGTAATATTCAATTTCAAGGAAATATCTTCATTCCCACGTTGTTATTAATCTACATAATGACCATAAATTCAAAAGACAGTGGACACTTCAATAAAAAAAATAACAATAGAAAGATTATATGTATAGGTTTGTTAATGGCGCCTGAATAATGTGACCATTATTATATGAACAGAAATCGGGATATAATTAAAAAATATATTACTTATTTTCAAATACAATTTAATTAATTTCAAATATAATAGAATAAATAAATATATTTATAGGTACTTCAGAATAATATATTTTTAATACCATTCAGAACGCAGATTCAAGAAGAAAGAATGATTCAGTAAGAGATTTGTTTTAAATAAATATTGTAAGAAATTATATCTCATTAATATAATTATTTCAAATGCATTATTAAAAAATATATATTATCATTCTGCGCTCCTACTCTAGGTAAGTATATAAATAATATATATTTACTATCAAAAAATTCTTGTAATTTTTTTAATAGATATGTAAAACGTGGATTTTGTACGTGATACGTGACCATACTAATTTCGAAAAGTTTTAACGATTAACTTATCTTTTTACTTTTATACAGTTGAAAAGTCAAAGTAAAGTAGCAAAATTATATTTAATTAAATATTTTATGACTAAGAGCAGTAAGTAGTTGCATATTTTAGTAGTTTAGAAATAGGTAGGTATATAAACTATAAGTACAATTTTCGGAAAAAGGGGTACAAAGTTTTTGTTCACGATTTGCGTGTAGTTTTATTGAAGAAAGAGAACATGTGTTGGTTGTCATGGTTACGTGTGAATAAAAAAAAATGTGAATAAAGTAATTTAAGGAACTTTCAAAAATGTATAGGTAACTCTTGAGTTGCAAACCGCAAAATTGCATAACGATCGGTCCAGTCTTTAAGAGTTATCATGTCACAGATATCTACAAAGATACACAGAGACGTCTAACTTATAACACTTCTTCTTTTGAGTGGATGATTATAAAACGAACTGTTCCGGATAAACTGAGATGTATAGTCACACTATGTTTGGACCTTATTTCTCTAAAACAATCTATATATTATGTTTTGTTATCTGTGCTTTAATGTTATCTGTATAATCTTATTACAGAAATAATGATAAGAGTTGGGCTTGGTACGCGGATGAGTACTTTCTAACCGACTGCAAATAGGTGGAGGTTTTCAATACGAGCGTATTTTATTATTAAACTTTTTGTTATATTTTTACAATTTCTAAACATATCTTTATCTAGATGGTTAATTAGGACCATCTGAACAGACGATGTTTCTATTATGAGATACTCTATTTGCGATGTAAGTTCTACCAAAACTGATTCATCATCACCAGTCTTCGATGGACGAAGAAAAAATAATGTAACTTATTTTGATGATTCTTTTTGTAATAGATTCCGATATTATTATCAATGACATGCAGAAGTTATAGGTACTTAGATAACATTACAGATTTTGTCACGAATGTAGACCGTTTTTCTAGATAAATAGACACAAGAAAATCAGTAGGATAAAATAATAAATGAATGTGTGTTGTTATGGGTATTAGACAACGGATATAATTAATTTGATTTTTTTTAAATACATAGGTACATAGGAAACACCCAGTCTGATACAAACAATCACACTCACGAATACAAATGTTTGTATACTTGCGACCATCGGAACAAAAGCGTTGTGCAAAACTACTAGAAATGAAATGAAATGAAATAATTTATTTGCGAAATATTGGTACAGTACTATAATTAATACGATGCCACATGAAATCCATTGATCAGCAATATTTACCATACAGGCTTGCGAATTACGTGAAGGCGCTTGTGCCACTCAAATATTCTTGGACACTGTAAAAATTAGACCACCGAGGTCGATAAAAAAAAAGAAATCATGAAATTAAAAAAATATATTATCACGACGGTAATCGGAAATAAGATAGTCAGAGACATTGTTAACCGTTTACATTAACATAACAAGTCGTAATCGTTATAAGTTGCTAATTAAATTACTTAACTTCAACTTCAACTTATAGGATATAAATAAATGCAAAAATTACAATGAAATTTTAATCAAATTGTTGTATAAAGAAATACCTACCTATATATATAGGTATATAGGTAGGTATACACTTTTACATAATAATAAGATTAAAATATATTAATAAAAGTAAAATAAGTCATACAAGATAGATTAAGAATTAATAAAAAAATCTATTTATAATAATAATAATAATATTAAAATTCATAGACAAGATAGTGTTTAAATGTTTTTATGAACGAACTTTTTGCCCACTAAATATTAATACCTACTTTAATACCGAAGTTAATGGTAGTAGCATTCTCTATGATTCCAAAAATTAGAGAATGTTTTTTTTTTATTTGAGGCTCAGCACACTAAAAAGAACAACCAACCGTATTCAAAATTAGAACAAGCACGCGTCGAAAATGGTATTAACCCTACCGATGTCGATGGGGACACATAATACCATATTGTTTCTATTGCAACCACTTTCATTTAAAATAACATAGCAGATTACTGCATTCACAAATGTTTTGTCCTCTTTTTTATTGTTACAAATGAATGAGAGATTAAAAATGGAGTGAAAGGGATAAGATGTTTTTTTAGGATAGACTGTCGCCATTCGCAGGATATGTCGAAACATCGGGGAATACGTTTTGAATTATTTCACTATTTTCTGGGAATGTTATCAATCTTAAGTAGCTAGTTAGTAGTCATCAGTAGCAACAAGAGTATAGAGATATTTAATTCTATTAATCCATCCATTACTAATAAAGTAAAAATTGAGAATAGTTATTGAGTACGTATCTACTTAAGTGCAGTTGGCATTCTGTGGACTTTTGACTACCTGATTTTTCGCTTGAACCTTTAAGACTACAGTGAAAAAGTGGTCAAGTAAACTAGTTGAGTTACTATAGATAAATAACTAAATTTTAGTACAATAAATACTTTAATTATAAAAAATTACCTAAATAAATATCTAAACTATTTTTGTCACTAGGACCTACAACTAAGTAGTCCGTCATTATAATTCAGAAAATACTAATCAATATTTTGCTATTTATTACAAACGGTTGGTAGTCATTTATTTAAGTTTTTATTGTGTAGATAACTATGTACATTATATGGTGCTACCTTTTCTTATGATTAAAGTTTCAAAATTAAAGTTAGGTACTAACTTTTCATCCATTCCCTTAACGAATTGTTAGAGAACACCTACTCTTTATAGTAGATAGGTATTAAATCAAGCTAACGTACTACTTACTCCATTATTATTTCATGTCTATAATGTTTTAGATAAACACTCGGTACCTAAGTAGATTTGCCTACATAATAATATATTTTATCTGTTATTTAAATTAAAAAAAGCTCTTTTACTTCCTGCGAATGATATCTATTATTTTGCGCTCTGTAAATTGATACCTTATTCAGATAAAATTCATGGTTTCATTCAGGTTAAACGTCATATAAAGCATCAGAGTTATGTTATTTGCTCCAGAGGAGAGTCCGTCTAGGGTTCAAGAGCTAAAATTGTGATTAGAAGCAAATTTTATAATTTAAATAGTAGGTAGGTAAGTAGGTATATTAATTTCTTATGTGCAATAACAAATTATAAGTAGATATAGATATTTTTAAAAATATATCTTTATATTTCTTTACATATGCAATAAACATTCTAAAATGAATTAAATTACACCAGTACATTTGACAGATATCATGTTTCTCGCACGAGTGGATAAAACTCTCTACTTGACTTGTCAACTGGTAATCTCATCCATTCACTATCCCATCTTCTAATTCACCAATCAAAGTATAGAGGCGGGGCTTGTGAAAGAGACAGACATATCTTATTCAGGTGATCATGAAAGAGAGGGGTGCAGGGTGGTAGGCTGTCACAGTAGGCGGGATGTCGGAAGTGAATGAAGTCGGGTCGACTTGACAGTGCAAGTTTGAAGTTCGTAACGAAAACTGCCATTGGCGGTGAATGGGTTAACTAATGACGAACTACGACGATTCGAATTTTAAATTTAATTGTTATATTTTTTAATAATATTTTTTTGCTTTGCAATTTAATGGACTTTTATATGTTGATGGAATAACTTTTTTTTATAACAAATACAATGTTTTGATGTTTAAATATACAGCTTTATTTAAAGTAGTGAAGTGACTTAGTGCAGTAGACTATTGTAGTGTTACGAAATGTCTGAAACGGGTCGTCGCGGTGCTGCCTACACTATTGACAATATTCTCGGACATACAGACAGACAAACAGGTATGTTGGAAAACTATTTAATTTTTATATTAATAGGTAGAATACATTTGTATATTAATATGTATCTAGCTAATATTATTTTATTGCTTACGTGTTATCTGTAGGTAGATATACATTACGATAATAAAGACACATCTTGATATCATTTAAGATATTATTAAATTATTTAAATATGATAATCCTACCAATTTTTTTCACTCCATTTAAATATAGGTAAGTAGATATAGAGTTTAAGTTTTAACCTTTGTGGATGTAAATAATGCATCTATTATAGTAGTTGTTTTTAAGTTAAATTTATATATATAGGTATACCTATAATTAATAATTCATTAAAAAAAGGTAATTATATTATTTATTAAAAATATTTTTATTAAAATTCCGAAATTAGTGGACAAAAGTAAGGTGAATAAGTCCTTATAATATATCTCGAATATAACATAAAAATTATCCTTAAGGGGTCAAAAGTTTTTGATATTGACATATCTATCAAAAAAAAATAGATATTAAATGTAGGTAGGGTACCCCCTACCTACATTTAATATCTACTTACTTTTTTATAATGGATTGATGCACCTGCCTGCGCTAACGGTTTACGCTGGCATGATAAGAGGATGATATGATCATGAAGTCAGATCAGTTAGCTCATCGTGACAAATTCACCAGGAATTTGTCATGATGATCTCCAGGGGGTACCGCGTAGAGTTCAACCTGGTATGTTACATTGCTAGCTATGGGACGCTATAGTGTAAGTTACCCCACTGGGGTATTTTGCACTGTAGCCCACTGTTTAATATTAAACATACGAGCAATGGGGTTACTTTTCCCCATTACTAACAATTCCTTCTCCCAAACCGTTAGTGTGATACCTATACCTAATGTAGAGCGTGACATTTTCTCTTAAATAATTGTAAACACTACTAAATATTATTTAACTTTTATGAGAAATCTATTAGACAATATAGTGAACTTAAAATCTATTATAGCCAAGACCTGAACTTTATTATATATATATTATATATTTTAATATATATAATAATGAAAATATTATATATATTATAATATTATATATATTTTCAATTAAAATATAATAAATTTATTAAAAATCCACATAATAATGTCTAATGTCAATTACTAGATATTTATAACAAAAGTGCTAAATATGAAGTATTCTTATCGGTTTTGGTATTTAAAGTAGATGAAGTTTTTTCACACTAAGTAATTTGAAAAAACTACAAAAAAAATACTTATAACGCGACCGGTACGGAAAATGTTGATAATAAATAGAGCAAAGTGATATATTATAGTGTTCTATATGTATCGCAGTCATTACTTATATTATATATCTAGTTGACTCCCCAAACTTTGCCATATAAATTAAAATTAGGTACTATTAAAAAATAGGGGTTGGTGATAGAAGGGTGAAAATTTTTGGTTGTTAGGTACAACCAAAAATTTTGTATGTATGTAGGTATTTTTTAATGCCACAAAATATCCAAAAGTTAAAAAAAAAGTTAAGGTGGATAACCCTCACTTTACTAGAGGTATGAAAATTACATAGTACCCAATTCTCGGACCTACTGAATATGCATATTGTTACTGGAGCGGGAACACAACTACTATTTTAATAAAAACCAAATACTAGGAAAAATGTGTATTCTTCCCAAAAGGGCTCACAGCGAGAAGTAACAAAACAAAAGTGACATATAAAAAATAGATATTAAAAATATAAAGTTTATGAAAAGAATGGTAGACAAGCTGCCAGCAACACATATAAAATTTCATAAAAAGTGCTCAAGCCGTATCGGAGGAGTATGGTAACTAACATTGTGACACGAGAATTTTATATATAAGACTAGTAAAAATCACGGGATCTTACCACGTTTTATTTTGTATTTCAATAACAACAACCGAAAAAAAACAATTTACCATCTACCCGCTGCTCATCAGTTTACCCGTGATATTTACCATCTGCTTAGTTTACTCGTGATCACGGCGGTTGAAACACTGCCGAAATATTGGGAACTCAATAAAAATAAAACTTGGTAAGATGCCGTGATTTTGACTAATTATACTTATACATAACAATATATCTAAGTATGTATATATATTGTCTACTACCAATAACATAAACTCTGCTTCGCTTGGTACTAGATGGAGCTGTATGCGTTGTCCTGAGATATATTATTACTAACTATACCTGCGACTTAAAATAATAAAAAATGTATAACAATCTTAGAAATAAATAAGTTTCGTTATTCTAGCTTTAAAAATGACGATAATCCATACAAAATTCCATACAATCTTTCATCCGTCCTATCAATCTTCCGTCCCTATGTATGTTTAAATCTTTAAAACTGCGCAACGGATTTTGAAACGGTTTTAATGGATAGAGTGATTCAAGAGGAAGGTTTACATATGTTATATATGATACATGTACACCCGTGCGAAGCCGGGGCGAGTAGTGATTATATAAATGATACTGGACTATAATTATTTAATTAATTTACTTCTATTAATCATCATCAGCCCACTGCAGTCCACTGCTGGACATAAGCCTCTCCCAAGGCACGCCACTGGGTACGATCTTCAGCCCTTCTCATCCAGTTACTACCCGCAACCCTACGTATGTCGTCGCTCCACCTAGCTGCGGGGCGTCCTACACTACGTTTGTCAATTCGCGGTCTCCACTCTAGAACACGCCTACTCCAGCGAGCATCGGTTCTGCGACAGATATGACCAGCCCACTGCCACTTCAACTTGCAAATACGAAGAGCTATGTCGGTGACCCTAGTTCTCTGGCGAATTACTTCGTTACGGATTAGATCTCTCAGAGAAACTCCAAGGATAGCCCTTTCCATAGCTCGTTGAGCGACTTTGAGTTGGTGGACCAGTCGTATCGTCAGTGTCCACGTTTCGGCACCGTAAGGCACTGGTTATAAACCTTGGTCTCAAGGCTTTGTGGTAGCGACGAATACTTTATTTAATTTACTTCCAAAAAACCTATGTATGACTTCAGTTAATTAATAACATTAAAGAAATAAATTTCTATTATACCTATTAACGTTGATATTAATTATGATAAATGAAATAATAATCATAAGATTATTATTATTATTATTACACTTATTACTTTATATACTATTTTATTATTATATAATTCCGATCCCCCTCCGATCGATCCCTCGTCCAGTTTTAACGGGGATCGAAATTACGACGGCCTGAGCCGAGATTCGTTCCTCTAGACATGCCCTCAGATTAAAGTCGTATCCATCACGCGGGAGTTGGCCTTCAGCCGCTCTATAAGTCCTTCCATTGTTTTGGAGTGCCATCTGCACTCGCCCCCTATTGTCCGGTGAAGCTGTAGAAACCAGCTGCGGCCAAAAGCATTGGAGTAGTCTGAAAAAAAATTGTTAAAATTATATATAATTCCTGAATATTTTATAAAAAAATTGCATGTCAGAGTATGGCGCGTCACGATTGTGCTTTTTGTGAAACAATGCATCTATTTACGTACCGTGTTTGCATGCAAATAAATAATAAATTCACCAAGTTATTTCACTGTCTTATCTCAGCCTACAAGTGAACACTCTGCTTAGCAGGTGATATAGTTGGACTGAGGTACACACGCCCACGACTTTTTACAGTCCATCCTGTATATATATATATTTATTTAGCGTTATTGTCAGGTGTTAAGACCTGTAGCACTGCGACCTACATAGATCTATCGTGCTCGCCCTTGTATCAAAGTTCGCTACCTAGAACAGTCAGGTATAAGAATTGAAGGATATTCTTAGGAGCGATGGATTTTATTCCAAAGTATATAGAGTATAAGACCTAAATTTCTTCAAACGCCAAAAAACAAATTCAGTAAGTATCTTTGTTAATACATGAAGCAAATACTTTGTACCTCTTTTTACGAAAATTGCGTTGATGAAGGAGTATATAATTTCGCACACTTATCATTAGGTACATATTATGAAACAAAGTCGCTGTCGCTGTCTGTCTGTCCCTATGTATGCTTAATTCTTTAAAACTACGCAACGGATTTTGATGCGGTATTTTTAATAGATAGAGTGATTCAAGAGGAAGGTTTATATATAATACATGTACATCCGTGAGGAGCCGGGGCAAGTAGCTAGTAGTTTATATAGAGAAGGAGTGCAGAATGCTAATATTTATTTAATTATGCATAAAAATACATTTAATAAATAAAAAAACATCATGTATTTGACACACACATATGTCAAATTGAGAATAGGTAAATATTGTTTGTCTTTAATATTACTAGTCTGTAGTCTTATTAAATATCGAACATAACCATAATTTAAATAAAAAAATGGTCGAATTTCGACCATATTTTCATCAGACGACTACTACTAGGTTATAATACTTCGTATGGATATATAGTAACATTATTAATGCAAAGGTTTGTGTTTTTGTTACTCTTTCATAACTATTCGGACGTACTGACTGAACGGAACTTATTTAAATTTGAACATTATGCTCTCTTACCTCAAAATTTATACAGTCGAAGTCGCGTGTATAAACTAGTCTTCTGTATATTATTCTATAAACACACGAAACCATAATCAATAACTAATAAATGCTAAAATCTCAACTTATTATCCCATAATCGCCCCATATTTCATAATACAGCCCCCCGCGGTGTAGCGTCCACAAAAAAATCCACATATTATATTATAACACATGTTCACACAAAATAATGACTACGTATGAATGAATATTATCTCACTCCAGTAGTTATTAAAGGATTGTGTACAATGAAATGTTAGTGTAATTATGTTACTTCAGTATTCAACATACAGAATTCAATGCGTACTCGAGAAAGGTATTTGGCGACGGTACTTGATATTATTTTTTTTTGCTATTATTAAAAGTATAATAATTATTGACGACTTGTCTAAAGAGTTACAATACATGCCCTTATCGGTTCTTTCCTTTCGCCTTCCATATTGGAAATGTTAAAAAAGTAATTCATAAAGATGATGGGTACCTATTTATTTCGAATTTGGAAGACGAGAAAAAGGCGGCAGATTATACATCTGTTTGTAAATGATTTGAAATCTAGAACTCTACTTTTTTATGTTCTGTTTATCTTTCAATGGAAAGGCAAAGGGAACTGCGCCCATACAGTCATGTTGTTGTAGTTTTATTATATTTGTATATAGGTAAAGAAATAAAGACTAGGTATACGGAGAAAAAATATATATTTGGATGGTATTGACAATAGAATTGAAGTGACGTAACAACCAAGAATGTTCAATAAATGGAAGTACAGAATTTAAATATAAATTTAGAATATGAAATACATTTCTTATTAGCCAGTTACAACACAACAGTCATATTTTTAAAATTCTTATTTTTTTTAACTAGGACTTCGTTTTAGGATTTGTGACATTTCGTTTTCTGTTTATATAATTGATTATTCTTTATAAGATTACTTTAGTTAGCAGTATGTTTAATTTAGAAAATTTTACATTATAATGTATGATTTTTTCATATGTGTGTTACGTTTTAAGAGTTGGCATAGAGAGCTGTGAGACCAAGACTAATATTTATTTTATGCAACAATATTGTATTGCCGATGAATTTTGAAATATGAAATTGGTTTTATTTTAAGTGATGTTGGGCCTACCATATAAGTACTTATAAATAGGTAATAAAAGTACTAAAGCATGTTATTTTGTTGTTATTACTAGTATTATTGTAGGACACAAATCTAACTGCGTACTAATATTATAAACGCGAAAGTTTGTGAGTATAGATGGATGTTTGTTACTTCTTCACGAAAAAACTACTGAACGGATTTTAATGAAACTTTACATCTAGGCTACAAATATCATGTGGTTGAAACCGCGGACACAGCTAGTGTAGCATCAATATAATCATGCGAAATTGGGACGCGTAGTTAATTTAAAATATATTTGAATATCATTTCTACAAATAAGCATACATACCGTAAGCTTTTGTCACGATCGTTGTATAAAAAAAATTAAATATATAAATTTTACGACGTTTGAACTCTTTCATGATTTATTTTGATCTCAAAATCCGATACAGAGTAATTTCTATATAGAGTACTCAAACGAGATACCATTTCATATCAAAATAATCCGTTCAAATTGGCACTCCATGTTCCGTATTGCTTTCACATGCGCCCTACACCATGTACACAATAATAATCCTCTTTCCCATCAGCATAAAGTTCAAAATTACTTGTTACGCTTACAAATAAGAATACTACACAAATAAATGACTTATTCCCCTTTTATAAGGCCTATAATCGGTTGTCGCTTATTTTTTGATACGGATTTCCGAAAAAATACAAAGTAATAAAAACGACTTTTAAACATCAATTTGTGAAATATTGCCAGTACTTTATAGAAATAAATCCTACTATTTACACACGGCGACGTCTGCTTTTTTTCTTTTCTATGACTGTGTACACACGATGCGATCTATTTTCACGTAAAATTTCTTTAAGTATGCGAATTCAAGTTCTATATTTCTGACGTACAGTTAACAAATTAGAATAACTGTCTTTCTGTCTTCTGCAATTATGTGTTTAAATTTGTGACCTAACTATATTATTTTTACACTATAAAGATACATTATTGAAAGATTATACAAATAATTAAACTTTGTCATATAATATTATACTAGTGGTGCCCGCGGTTTCACTCGCGTGAAATTTGTAGTCTATATGTTATTCTGATGGATGAGCTATATTACTGTTTAAGTTTTATCAAAATCGGTTCAGTTGTTTTTGCGTGAAAGAGTAACAAATATACATCCATCCATATTCACAAGCTGTCGCGTTTATAATATTAGTAAGATTAATTATTATTAAGAGAGAGATAATTAGTTGACAGTTTGACACTCATTGTCAATAACTTGACTCAACTTGGAGTCGCTATAGAATCGAGCACACAATAGGTAAAAAGCTTTAATTAAATTCCTGACTGCAATGTAACACGGCTAATTGTTTAACGCGATATTAATTTTACAATCTCGTCTCTTTGTTTTGATTAGCGATGTCACATCACTAGCGAGTGTTTGACATTCTTTGATTTTAATAATCGTATAATTTTAAAAATCGAACACGCTTGTTAGTCTAAAATAGTCTAAATGTTTGACATTCTTCGATTTTAACAATTCTTTAATTGCAAATTTTGAATATCGAACACGTCTGTTAGTGAAAATGTTTGACATTCTCGATTTTAATAATTGTTTCATTGCAAATTTTGAATATCGAACACATTTGTTAGCAAAATGTTTAACATTCTCCGATTTTAATAATTGTTTAATTGCAAATTTTGAATATCGAACACGTTTGTTAGTCAAAATGTTTAACATTCTCCGATTTTAATAATTGTTTTATTTGAAATTTTAAATATTTGGAAAATTTTATTACATTCCTCATTGTATGTATATACATATAAATGGCTTAATAACGATTTAGATATAAAATATTATTTGATTAAATTGTAATTATATTTATTTTTTTTAATACGAACGAAACTTATAAAAAATACATCAAATAGAAAAAAACGTGACACATTAATGTGTGTTTGACCCACGCACGTTTATTGTTAAGGTCTGTGGTCAAATTTAGAATGGATTCATATTATTTGTCTTTAATAATTTGTTTGTCTTACTCAATGTTAAATTAATTATCTAATTTCGACCACTAGGCGACCACTAGTTATACTTTAATACGTAATGTAATATACCAATAATAAAATGGGTACACAAAATAATGCCGAATAAAATCGGTTATTGTAACATTAAGGTCCCATCACTAGACATTGAATTACATTTAAATCAAAGGTGGAGAGTTCAAATGCCTATTCAAAGAGATCGTTCACTAATACAATAAACGTTTTTCTTTACATCTTATTACGTTTGTACGACTCATTGTTGATCTCTACTAAACTCCGCGTAACAATTATAACAAAGAAATTAAAATGGTATTAGTATAAATAAATAGTGAACATAATATCGAGTGACGTTAAGTGCTTAACAAAAACCGTGTTTTGTACCGGTTCTTTTTGGCAAGGGTCATCACTAGTGGCAGTGTTGGCAGAATTTTAAATCGTATGGCGTTGTGTTAAAGTTGAATTTCGATTGTGTTCCCGTTTAATTAGTCAGTGAAAAGTTTTTGGAGGGTGGTAATTCTGTATTATGCAGGGTTGATAGTCTGTCCGTGTGTTTGTTCGGCGATATGTCGGGAATTGAGGATTAAGGGATCGATGTCATGTCACGGACTGGTACGGTGGGAAAAATGTTTGATTTGTGTATGAAAAATTGATTTTGATTTAAATATCGTTATTGTATTCATTAGTGACATCGATCAATGAAGTTAAGCAATTTTGATGTCAGTCCTAATTTGAATTCCCATGCATATATTAGGGTTGAACCATAAATTACAATTTAATTAATTATTTTTTTTACAAATCGTCACATACAATTTACTTATTTAATTAGACTAGTCCCACTAGGTCGCACACCGGTCGAAATTCGACCATAATAAAAAATACAAAAAGATATTTGAACCAACAATACTAAATATGTATATATTTCAACAATATTCAAATATGTATGTGCGTGTAAAATACATGGTAGCGTGTATAATGTTTTTCATTGATTTAATTTTTTTTGTGATATAATTAAAAAACAAATTGTTAGCATTCTGCACTACTTGTTATCCACGATAATGATTTTGTACAAACTCTATCTAGGTTAAAATATAATATGTACTGTATTTAAATTATTACACATATAATTTGACCGTTCCACCGCCATTTTACAATACAGACTCTTCTATAAAATGCACAGAGTACATTATAAACATTCACTATAAACTTTATTGATAAATTAGACCAAAGACAATATCTCATACAGTTATGTTTTTCAACAGATCGAATAGAACTGAAAAGTGAAAGCGGCGCGCACTCAGACTCCGATCATGAGCACGATCATGAACACGATCACAGCGATCACGCACACAACGAGCACACCGACCACGGCGAACATTTGGACCACGGCGAACATTTAGAGGCACTCGACGCTGGCAGACCGCGCAAGGTAATTTGCTAAGATTTGAACAATTTGGTCGACGAATTGACTGACCTGGTTGAGCCTCGGTGGTATAGCGATTTAGCACACCGCCTTAATTGCAATCGTCGCGGATTCGATTGCGATTTCTTTAAATTTTCTGCGCAATTTTGTGAATCTCTTGTTCCATAGAATAGAAAATCATTTACTCAATGAAACTTGCATTGAATCGCTTTCCAATAGTCATCTCTAATTATTAATTTTAATAAACTAAATAGTAATTTTTGTATCTACCGTTCATTCGGAAAGCTGTCTTACAAGAAGAACGAAAAAGAAACTTGCGTGTTGCTCTTTAAATAATTTAGATGTTTCTTTACTACTTTTTAAATTGAAATATATGAATACAAACTGCCAACTAGCACTAATTTATTAATCAAAATATTAAATACACAACCAACTGGCTGAGTATCAAAATAAGTTTAAATCAGTCGTAATGATAAGATCAGACCAGTCCCTACAAGCAGCACTCATTCACGAGTATGACGAAGTAACGAAAGTAATGTACATAATACAACAAACATTACCAATGTTTGTAATCTTATGTATATGTAGAATGATAGTTTGTATCGGTCTGGGTGTTTATTGAAATTTAAATAAATTATGGTCGAATTTTGACCACGGGCCGACTAGTTATATATTTTAGGCTACTAGGCCCATATTATAAATACTTTATAGACTAACATACATATGAAATAATATTATAAAATTAAAATATTGAAATTGTATGTGTGGTTACGGCACCGATGACGGCAATCTGCCACAGTAGCGCCGGTACACCACACCCTTCGGCCAGTAGTCCTCCTTCATGAAGGTGGGCAGCATGTTGGTGCGGACCCAGGCCAGGAACGCCTTGAGACACGCATTGTGGCTCGACTCCAGCTTCATTACCCTCAATGTCAGATCACTTTTCGTTCTTATATAATCGACAATGACCTGTCCTGTTATTATTAATATCTCCATCAATGTTACATGTATAGAGATTGCATATTGTTTCATTGTGTGTGCAAGCAGGTACGCCGCAGCCGGACAACGTTTACCACATACCAGCTGCACGAGCTGGAGAGGGCGTTCGATAAGACGCAGTACCCTGATGTCTTCACCAGAGAAGAATTGGCCATGCGGCTGGACCTTAGCGAAGCCAGAGTTCAGGTAAGATAGTTTACCATAAACATGGAATGTTGCATCTCAACTCATATAAATACATAGATATGTTTTCTTTGTAAATACATACATAATGTACATACAAAACACCTATATCCAGATAATCAAACACATGATTACAAAAAATTATACAAGGAATCGAAACGCAATCATTGAAAGTAAGGGAATGTACTACACCGCTAGACTCTCGTCATAATAATATAAGAATAAATAATACAAATAAAATAGAATAAATCAAATAAACAATAACCGATCAATTAATATATTCATATAACATTCATATAATAGTAATATAATTTCGCGTATAATAATCTCGAGTGGCATATTAATATGTAGTTTATTAAATGAACGAAATATTATTATAACCACAACGCTAATTGCTTTATATTACAAATTATTATTATAATTATTAATTAGTGATATTCCATATTACTAGTTAATATTTATTAATGACATAATTGGAATAGGGTAATGAGGTAGAGTTTGTGAGATGTCGAGCAGGGGTACATTTGTCTCGTCTATTTTATTCACAAAGTACCTACCAGTGTTTGAGTTGAAAGGTGAAATTTGGTTATTGGCTTTGAGAAATTATTTAGAAAAAGAAACAGAAATAATCTTTATTCAAATAAACTCATTACAAGCACTTTTGAATAGTCATATTTTGAAATAAAGAAGAACGAACAAGAAACTTGTGTGTTGCTCTTTTGCTATTATATTTATAACAATTACCTATATAATATTAATAATAATTTACAATAATCCTGGACAATTAACACAGCGCCATCTAATCTCACGGCAAGCAGAGCTTATTAGTGCTAAACAACTGATATAAATACTTAGACATTTTTTTTGTATATATATACATAATATAAATAGAAAACAACCAGACCTATACAAACAATCAAATAAATACAAATGTTTGTACAGTGTGAGGAATCGAACCCGCGACCATTGGAATAAAAGCGGTGTTCTATATTGGTAGACCACCGAGGCCGTCATAATAAATTATAGGATAGACAGACACTGATCTTTTACACCCCCTTAGGGGGTGTAAGTTGGTGCCTCTTTGCCCCGGCCTTGACTCTAGGGGCAACAAACCCCGGCTAACTGGGTTGACACAATCTCTTGGGACAGTTTTCTAAAACTAACTTTATTATACTATACTATACTTAGGGATATAAAAATAGATAACAACCTATTCTCTGACCTACCGAGTACACATATAAAATTTCATCAAAATCGGTTATGCCGTTTCCGAGAACTATGGTAACTAACACTGTGACACGAGAATTTTATATATAAGTATTTGTAAATACTTGACTTAGTGAAATTGCCAATTTTAAACATTAAAATAGTGCCACTTAACTATTAAACGGCGACTATTGTAAACTTAAAGCCTGTAACGGTTTTAATAGCAAGCAATTAGCTGAAAAGTAGCTGTAATAAGCGCTAATGTGGTTTACGTTAGGGTTGTCAAAATGAAATTTATTTAGGAAAAAAAATAAAAAAGAACTATACCATAAATTGCTGTATAGCCCAATCTATTAGTCTGTAACTCGGTTTGTTAACTCGGATTCTAGTTGGTTTTATAAAAAAAACTATACGAATTTCGAAACTAACCGTTTTTTATTGTGATTAGTATTATCGTATTCAATTAAAAGTTGTGGTTATTTAATATATTAATCAGGTGCTATACTATGTAATATTATGTTATCTGTGCTACAACTATGTAGACTGTAACGTCACGCTACCAATAGGAGCGGATCAGCGATGAAAAATGTGTTAAAAATGATCATTTTGATTTCCGCTGCGTGCGTTGTGTAAACGGTAAAATTACACAAATAATATGTATGACGGAATTGTTCTCCTTAAAAGTTTAAAAAAAAGTCTGTGATATCTTTTAAGATTAACTCACAATAACCGTTTTCATGGTAATCACATTTCTGCTAAATTTTAAAATTACAAAGTTATTTATCGCAAATAACCTTGAAATTTCACTTTCAAATCTCAAATTACAATAGAAATTCCAAACGACTTTGTTCAAAGTATACCTTGGTAAATAATTTGGTGACAACCCTACGTTACCTAAGGTGACGGACGCAGTAAATATTAGGGCTGTTCTCACAAGAGTATAATGATGGTGCGAATTAGCAATGTATTGTGTACACCACGCCAATTTACGTTTCAGACCTTACAATTAAACTAGAAGCTTAAAGAAGCTTTAAGAAGGCATTCAGAGGTATTAGTAATATTATAAACACAAAAATTTGTGAGTATGGATCGGTTACTCAAAAATCTTTCCGTCCATCATGCATGCAAAATCTACTGAACGGAGTTGGATGAAATTTTACAGTAGCTAACATCAGCTCAGAAGAAAACATAGGCTAAAATTTAATATATATTATATATAATTTAATTAATATAAATTGGGCGAAATATGATACATGTCAAGTATATGCAGACGAAGTTCTGAAGAAGAAATCTCTGGTTATATTTTATCTATAGTTCTTTAGTCGGCTTATATTTTTACTAGATTCTGTCCGCAGCTTCGCTCGCGTTAATTTATCCTCTTAGCGGTGGAATTCATAAAAATCCTTTCTTAGGAGATGCCTACGTCATAGTAGCTTTATGCATGCAAAGTCTCAGCCCGATCGGTTTGAAATTGACAAAGTTTCATACAAACTTTCATTCCCTATTTTATCCCCTTGGGGGTAGAATTAATCAAAATCCTTTCTTAGCGGATGCCTACGTCATAACATCTACCTGCATCCAAATTTCAGCCCGATCCGTCCAGTGGCTTGGGCTGTGCGTTGATAGATCACTATGTCAGTCACCTTTAAGTTATAGGTATATATTTAAATTTCTAATTTCATTTTCTAATACATATAACGTTTATTGTTGTTACATATAACGTAGAATCGAGAGATTTTTTTTTAAAGTTGGTTGATAAAATATAAGCCGACCAATGAACTATAGATAGAATATAACCAGAGACAATACGACACAATCGTCTAAACGACAGATTAAAAATGAATATACGCTAACGAGCCGGGCACTTGTCTTCAAATGCGAGGTGTAAGTGTGGATTAGAGAAAGACACAGCAGATGAACTGGAGTACCATCAACAGTCATTCTACACCAATGTGTTATAGAGTACATTTTACCTGCTATCTTTTATATGACGGACTCAGTGGACTAGCGGTTTGGTACCGCCTAACTTCCAGGGTCGCAGGTTTGATTTTTCGCACGGTACAAATATGTATTCACAAGTATGATTTTGTATTAATCGGGGTGTTTTCTGTGTATATTTCATATGTATTCAAGTGTTGTATCAGTTGTCTTGTATTCATAACACAAGCTCTGCTTAGCTTGGCACCAGATGGCATTGTGTGAATTGTTCAAGGTTATTAAATTATTATATATAATACATATCGACGACTAATTTAATGTGGTATAAGCTTCGTATAAGACCACTCGTTTAAATACGGAAATAACAAACCAACTGATAGTCCACTCGATGGTAAGTGGTAACAATTACCTATATATATATACGAATAGCACAGACATCACTTAGTTATGTGATACTTCTTTTCTTAGATGAAGTCTTTTCAAAAACATGTTTCTTCCCTGTAATTCCACAGCTTACTAAGCGAGCTGCTTAGCGGGCGAAATAAGTAATATAGAATTAACCACACAACTGACTTTATACAAAGTCTACTTCGGTAAAAATGTAAAGTTGTAAAAATATAATGTTACATTTGTTTGAAAAAGAAATAGCTGGATTCTTGCCTATTCTTCTTTTGTAAATCAATTATGACGGTAGAAAATAAAAAGACAATTCAAAAGTGATTCAGGCCATTAACATTATTAAAATAAAGATTTCCTATTATATTGTAATAATCAAGACAGAATTCAGTTCTGTACTCCGTCTACGCAACTAACAATGGTTTAATTAAGCGTGGTTTAAACCACGAGTACTCTCGTGGTGTAGTTAAAGCGAGCGCTGCAATTTGGCAATAATTATGAACTTGAGTGTATGGTATGGGGAAGGAGGTAATCTTGCGATGCATTCATGCTTGTCGGACTTTGGGTGAGTTGCATACAGATGTATGTACATATATCAGTGTATTACTATACTAATACTATAAGTTTAAATATACGAGCATATGTCTTCGAATAAAATTTCTGTGATCTCCCTTTGCGTACCGTTTAAATAAATACCTCATGCCGTAGTCTCGTGAGAAAACCTCGGCGGGTAGTTCATCTACAATCTAAGTCTATGCGGGAGGAAGTTCCTCTGAAACCGCAATGTCCGAGATCACTTAGGTTCCAGCGTGTAGGGATAAATTTCGATCGCGGATAGTACGATGGCATAATGCTATTTACAACCTTACTTTTATTTTTTCGGACTACCTTAGTGCTGTTTGCCGCAGCTGGCCTTTACAGCTTCACCGGACGATTCAACCTTACTAGTTATCTTAGTCATTTGCCGTGGAGACATATGTCCCATGGAGCCCGGAAGCTAAATTGTTTTTGACGAGTATTTCAGCGCGGCTCATCGAGATTATTTGTGACCTGAGAGCTGGTGGCCACTTTGCCCAGAGGCTAAGTATGCCCATTCAAGAAGCACGCTGCCAGTATCTTGATTTTTTTTTGTTTAGGGTTTTTAACAATTGGCAGGTGTTAAGCACTGCGACCTACAAAGATCAATTGTGCTCGCCCTTTTTCAAAGTTCGCTACCTACCGTCAGAGACAGGAATTGAAGGATATTCTTAGGAGCGATGGTTTTTATCTCCTCAGGGTAGGTATAGTGTATACTTTCCAAAGGAGATATTTTGCGTATGCAGGAGTGGGTTACAACCACATAGGATGTGTAGGGGCGTTTCCTCTTCTGCTTAGCAGAATTTGCAGATTGTCGTTAAGCTGAGGCCTAATTTTGCCATGTGTTTATACAATTTGCAGTGTCCAGTGAGGGCTCTAGTCATGAT